TACTGTTTGATTTTTTTTAAGATCTCTATCTCCTGGTAAAGCTCGTTCTTTGCCATTTGAATTTGTTTGTTTAATTCATTTTCAAAATATACTTTTATTGCTTGGACTTGCTGTCTCATGTCTTCTCTAATATTCCTTTCCATCTGAGTTAGGTATGCCTTGAGTTCTTTCCCTCTCCATGTTTCTGATGCTTCTAGGTCCTCCAGTAGATTTAAGTTGTCCTGGATTGTTTGTACTCCTTTTTTCCCTTGTTTTTTCATGATGTTCATGTTACTTTTCAGCTCTATTTGATTGCTGTGCTCTCTCCTATAGATTTGTTTTGGTTTTGTATATCTCTGTTGTCTCTCCTCTGTGTTGGTAGACTATGCCTGCTAAAGTGGATTCTGCTGGGAAGGAATTCCGACGGCCGAGCTCCAGTGATGTCACCTCTCTGCTATGGTGGGCCCCAGGCTCCTTGCCGGGGTGTCCGAATGGGGGGGTGGGACTGGACTGTCTCTGGTTGGTTTCAGCTTCCGGTCGCCGGGGGGCAGGTGGTCTCCAGCCGCCCAGTCGCGCGGGCAGCGGGTGGGCTGTCGCCGGCAGGCGGGCAGTCTCCAGCCGCCCAGTCACGAGGGCCTGGCCTCTAGTCCCCTGGTTTCTCCTGTTAGTCCTGGTTTCTCCTGCTAGACCAGATTTCCCCTGAGTGATGCCTCTCGGTAGTTCAAACTGTACTCTGGGCCTGCTGTTTGTTGAGTGTGGAGGGTGGCTATTGGGAACCCCAGCACTCTATTGTTGCCAGTGCTGGCAAGACAGGTTTCGTTTTCGCCGCTGATGGGAGGGGGAGTTGAAGGTCAGGTGTCTCTAGCTTTCCCCACGTCTTTATGCAGGCTCGCTCTGATAATCCCTCCCCCGGAAAGTCTAGGTGAGACTTTATGCGAATTCCCCACTGTATGGGAGATGAGCTGAGTAACACGCACCTGTTTTATTGTTGCAATCTGTCGGAGAGTGGCGGTGGTTACTTCAGCTCTCCAAGATGGTGGCCGCTGGTTTCCTTGGTGGAGTTTCCGTTGTGGGGGATAGAACTGTACCGCTTCCTTCCCCGTCTGAAATCCTGAACTCAGCCTGGGGTTCAGTGAGGGCTCAGCCAGCAGGATTCCACAGAATCCACAGCAACGTTTCTCTCTGCTTGCTGGCTGCTTCTCTGCGGGGCCCCGCCATCTGTAGCCGCGGGGCGGGCACACACCTGTTTTATTGTTGCAATCTGTCGGAGAGTGGCGGTGGTTACTTCAGCTCTCCAAGATGGTGGCCGCTGGTTTCCTGATTTTGTTCTTTTTGATGGGATAATATTGCATTGTATATGTACACCACATTTTCTTTATCTGTTGAGGGGCACTTAGACTGATTCCATAAGTTTTCTGTTCTGAATTATGTCACAATAAACATGGGTATGCAGGTATCTCTATAGCATGAGAACTTTTATTCCTTCAAGTGTATGATGAGAATTGGTATAAGTGAGCCATATGGTAGTTCTGTTTTTAATTGAGGAAATTCCACACTGATTTCCATAGTAGCTGTAATAATTTGTACTAATTTACATGCCTACCAACAGTGTGTAAGTGTTCCTTTCCTCTCTCCCCAACTTTCCAGAATGTATTGTTTTGTTTTTGTTTGTTTGTTTGTTTTTTGCAGTGATAAGGACTGAACCCAGGGCCTCACACACACACACACACACACACACGGAAAACATTACCTTTGAGTTATATCCCCAGCCCTATTTTTTGTATTTTGATGATAACCATCCTGACTGGGATGAGATGGAATCTCAATGTAAGTTTTAATTTTGCACTTCCTTGATTTCTAAAGATGTTGAACATTTTTTTTTGTATAATTATTGGCCCTTTGTATTCCTTCTTTTGAGAAGTGTCTTTTTAGTTCTGATAAACCCAACCTGATTTTCTCTTAAAATTGGGAGCCATCTCGCCACAAAGCCATGAAAAGATAATTTCAGTTTTACTATAAATTATTGCAAATTCTGAACTAGCTTGGAATGCCTGCCCATCCCTTGAAATCGCCCATGCCTGGCTCTCCCTGACCAGATAGCAGCCGTCTCTGAAACTTTAGTGAGGCCTCATAAATCTTGGCCATCCCTGGCCAGATACCAACCCTCTCTGAGGCTCTGATGACCTTCATAAATTCTGATGTTGGGGCCAGCAAAAATGTAAACCTTTGTGTTATGCTCATCAGAGTTTTGTTATCTGTAACCCCCTTTGGGTAACTTTCTGGGCTATAAAGCTGGGCTGCAAGAAAACTGTGGTGCTATCTTGTTCCTGTGGTTTTGGGTGGGAGAGGCAGCCCGGCTGGTCGAAATAATAAGCTTGCTTTAATTTGATTTTAATTGGAGTCAGTGGTCTTTTCTTGTGTCCTGGTCTAACAGTTCATTTGCCCATTTATTGATTTTTTTTTTCGGTGTTAAAATTTGAGTTCTTCATATATTTTAATATTAACATTAATCCTCTGTCAGAAAAGAAACTCTCACTCTGTATGCTGTCTCTTCGTTCTTCTGTTTCCTTTGCTGTGCAGAAGTTTCTAAATTGATGCAATCCCATTTGTCAATTCTTGCTATTATTTCCTGAACTATCAGAGTCCTATTCGGGAAGTTGTTATTTGTATCTATCTCCCCAAGGGATTCCTCTATGTTTTCTTTTATCAGTTTCAGAGTTTTGGGTCTTGTACTCAGGTTTTTGCTCCACTTTGAGTTAATTTTTGTATAGGGTAAGAGAAGAATCTAGTTTCAGTCTACATATGGATATCCAATTTTCCTAGCACCTTTTGTTAAAGAGGCTTTCTTCTCTCCAGTGTATATTTTTGGCATCTTTGTCAAGAATCAGATGACTGTAGCTGTATGGATTTATTCTGTGTCTTCTATTCTATTCCATTGGTCTATGTGTCTGTCTATGCTTACTGTATTTGTTACTATTTCTATTTTGTTACTATGTTTTGTTTTGTGTCTGTCTATGCCTACTGTTTTGTTACTATTGTTTTTGTACCCTACTGTTTTTATTACTATGGCTCTGTAGTATATGTTGAAATAGGGTATGGTGATGCCTCTAGCATTGCTCTTTTTGCTCAGGATTGCTTTGCTATTCTGGGTCTTTTGTGCTCTCATATAATTTTATGATTTTTTTCTAGTTCTGTGAAGAATGCCATTGGTATTTTGAAGGGCATTGCATAAAATCTATAGATTGCTTTTGGTCATATGGCTTTATGTATTTATTTTAGTGCTAAGTTGTTGAACCCAGACCCTACCACATGCTAGGTAAGCACTTTACCACTAAGCTACATCCCCAGCTCTATTTTTAATTTATTTTGAAACAGAGTCTCACTAAATTGCTCAGACTGGTCTTGGATTTATCATCCTTCTGCTTCAGCTTCCTGAATAACTGGGATTACAGGTATGTGGTACCACACCCAGCAGTAATACGGCCATTTTAACAATATGAATTCTGCTGATCCATGAACCTGGGAGGTGTTTCCATCTTCAAGTGACTTCTTGAACTTCTTTCTTCAATATTCTGTAATTCTCATTATAGGGGTCTTTCACTTCCTTGGTTAGGTTCATTCTTATTTTATTTTTTAAGCTATTGTGAATAAAATTATTTTCCCAGGTTTTTTCTTAGTGGGTTCATTACTGGTGTAAGTACATGCCATTTGACTTTTTTTTTCCTCGCTCAATATAGTGCCCTTGATATCCTTCCAGGTTGCTGCATTTATCAATGATTCAATCTTTTTATTTCTGAGTAATATTCTGTGGTATACACATACTAAAGTTGGCTTGATCCTTCTCCCACTGGAGGACATTTGGGTTGTTCTCAGTTGTTGGCTAATATGCCTAAAACTGCTATTTTATTTATATACAGGTTTTCTGCACACATACATTTTCATTGTTCTGGATTAAACACTCAAGAGTGCGATTTCTAGATTGTATGATTTCTAGACTGTATGATAAATGCAAATTTAGTGTTCTAAGAATCCACCAAACTGTTTCCAGAGTAACTCCAACATTTTACATTCCTATCAGAAATGTTCCCAAGATCCAGTTCCCCTGCATTCCAGAGTTTATAATTATCACTGGTTTTTAAATGTTAGCCTTTCTGACAGATGTGTAGGGGTCTCTCTTACCAGTCCAGAGCTCCGAAGTTCTCTCTGCATCTCTGTCCCCTTTGGAACCCTGTGAGTTCAGGTTGACCTGGCCCTCTTGGACACCCAATTCTGTCTCCTCAACTCAGGGAGACTGACAGTCTCCACCTAGGTTCTCCCTCTCAGCTGCATCCTGAAAACTCTCTACAGGGAGTAAGCTAGGGGAATTGTGGGGATCATCTCAGTTGTTTCCCATCTCTCAGTGATCCCAGTACAATGAGAAATAGCACATTCAGAATCTAACTCTTAAATGGATTGATTATCAGTTTTCTAATCAGGATGTCTGCTCTATCTCCCTACCTACCTCCCTTCCTTCCTTCCATATATTTTTACCTAACTAGAAGCCAAGAATTTTGTCATCAGAACTGCCATTACTCATCTGAGACATCAACCTCTTTAAGCTAGTTTATTTGTAAAACAGAGAGTCTATATGAGTCTTACTTCCTTCTCTGATAGTCTAGGATATTAACAGACTCTTGTAGGAGACGCAGTGAGAAGTATTGGTAGCAATCTTTAGTGTGGTGTTGGTTCTTAGTCTGTAGCTATTGTTCGTTAGTCCTTAGCTATTTATAAACAGGAAAATGGTATTGATTGTGTGGGAAATTATCATATGTTGGTAATTGCTGTGAAATAGCAAGAACAACAACAATAGCTAACACATTTAGCCTGCAGCATCTTATGTAATATTTACAATAGCCCTATGACGTAAGTGCCACTACTATCCAAATTTAGAAGATGAGAAAGCCGTTGCCTAGGGAAAAAAAAAAAAAAAAAAAAAAAAAAAAAAAACCAAGAATAATTCCTTTCTTCATATTCAATTAAAGGTTGGTTTCCAATGATCTCTAGAAGTAACCAGAACACTCCAGTAATAAAGAAGGAAGTGAAGCCCAGATTGCTGCTGGGCTCAGCAGAGGATTCTCCATTTCCCCTTCTGTTGCAAAGAGAACTCTCCAGAGTGAATGAGCAGAATGAACACAAAAGAGGAACAGCACAAGCAAACTGTGATGGTGAAATGCCATGAATTCCTCACTCAAGCAGGTAGTCAAGATTGCTGGGCTATGGTTGTGGCTCAGTGGTAGAATGCTTGCCTAGCACATATGAGTCACCAAATTAGATCCTCAGCACCACATAACAATAAATAAAATAAAGGCATTATGTCCAGCTACAATTAAAAAATATTTTTAAAATAAAGATTGCTTAATTGTTCTAAATTATAAACATTGGCACTGCAGAAAGTCAGCTGAATAGATCATGTGGATTACACGAGTGTTTTTCAAACTACCATTTGAAAGCTCCTGTCTGAGTGACTACAGAAAACATCCTCCCAAGAGGGCTTATTTATGCCTAGAGAGGTTTTTTTTTACAGTGCTTTAATAATCTCCAACATGCATTTAACAATATTATATCATGTTGTCAACATTTGCTAAAGAAGAGAATCTTAGCAACCACAGCATAACCTTCCTGGTTTTATTCACCCAGCCTGTAGGGATTGATAATGATAGTGGTGCTTTGGATTATCTCTTATCTAGGGCTAAATAATTAGCTTTGTAAAATCTAGGTGTTGTTATGGGCATGTGGCTATTGGTTGGAGAATGGAAAGAGGAGTGGAGTGGAGGGCTGGGTAAAGGCATAGGCAAAGAAAAGTATGTGAACGTTTACAATTGACTCAAATAGTCTAGATCTTCAAATCAAGTCATGATACCATGTAAAATGTGAAAAATAAAATAACTATGTTGGACAGTTAACCCAAATAAAGGACAAAGATCTTGACATTTCAGAAATGATAGGGAAGGGTTTAAAGAAATACAGTGGGGGGAGAAAATAATTTAAAGACAACTAGTTTCGAAATTCATGCACAAGACCAGATTGCTTATAAACCACAGATGAATGGGTATATCTCAGGAGTGGAATGATGGATTGATAAAGTAAAACTGTCTGTAATTTTTCAGGTTGGAGACATTTCCTGTCCTGGAAGTCTGGAACTGAATTATTGTCCAAATAGCCTTACTTCAAAGTATTTGTGGGAGTAGAAAGCCAAATTGCTTGAGTGTAATTGTTCAGTGTTGATTGGGGGAGAGGAAAGAGGAGTGGCTTAGGAAGTCATTCTGTGTTTAAGATCATAGGAACCATAGGGTCCGTCATTTTTATGCAGACTAGCATCCGCTGGTTACCAAGAAGAAAACCCTGGAAGGGAAGAATTTGGGGAACTGGAAGATACAAGAACCTCTGAAGCTACTTAGGAGTGTAGGTAAGTCATGGTATTGGGTACCCTTCTCAGGGAACAACCTGAGAAGTTCTATTTTTTTAATTAAAAAATTTTTGAAAACATTTTTATCTCTATAGAAAAGTTGCAATAATAAAACAAGGGACTTCTCACTGCTCTTTATTCAGAAAAAATATTTAAAATTATTTTTCTCAAGTTTATTTTATCATTTTCTTTTTTCCCTATAAGCATGCACTTAACACATGCACACGTTAATATTTCAGTATGTATTTACTAACAGCATGGATATTCTCTTAAATAATCTGAATTTACTTTTAAAGTTTATTGTATAAGACACTGACATAATAACATCATCAGCTTCTCCGCAGACTATATTCTAATTTTATCAACTGTCTCAATAATGTTCTTCATAGCATTTTATTTTATTTTTTCTTGTAGAGAAGGTCTCTCTTTGATAGAATGTGATACTGACCTAGCAAGACAAAGACATACTTCGTTGCCTCAGCTCTCATTAAGATCTTCATTAGTTAAGAAAGCCCCAGCAGATCAACTGTTCTTTGTTTTCATTCTTATTCCATTTCTTCCCTGAAAGTACAAATCAGCAGGAATACCTAGGTAGTAGGTGATCTTTCACAGAAGAAGGAATCTGGTATGACAAGATGTAACTTTAGTAAGAATGAAGACTGAGACTGGACATCTTAACCCTTAGTCTCAGTTGAATAGACTACAGTACTTTTTCTATTCATTTTAATCTTTTTTTTTTTTTTGATACCTGGGGTAGAACTTGAGCGCTTCACCCCTGAGCCATACCCTCAACTCTTTTTATTTCTTTTTTATTTTGAGACAAGGTCTTGCTAAGATGCTTAGGGCCTCACTCAGTTACTGAGGCTGGTTTCAAACTTGCGATTCTCTTGCCTCAGCTTCCCAAGTCACTGGGATTAATGGCGTGTGCCATTAATCTTTTGGGGGAGGAAATAAATAGTAATGGGCAAAATTCAAGTTAATTACTTGATTAAGAATTTAGTTATTTAAAAATCATTGGTGCCAGCTTTCCTCACTGACTCCTCATCTGTAAGCCAATTTCAGAACAGCTTTTCCTGGTTGTCTTCCCAATCTTTGGGATCCATACCTTATTACACACTAACAGGGAGTATGGTGGGGGATGGACTGAGAAATGGAAAGAGAAAGACAAAGGATCACTGCTTTGGGAGATGGAGTCATGTGGAGAAGAAAGGGGAGACCCCAAAGCCTATGCTGTAGGATTTAGAGAGGCCACAGTCTCCACTGGTGCCAGTTTTCATCTCAACATCATGTCCTTCCATTTCCCTCCACCTGTCCAGGCAAAATGAAGCTGACTCTGGTACAAATCTTTTTCATGCTGCTGCTGCTGCTGCTGGGCCTGGGGCTGGGCCTGGGGCTGGGGCTTCACATGGCCGCAGCAGTCCTGGAGGATATTGATCAGCCACTGAACCAGTTTTGGTCCAGTGACTCACAGGACAAAGTCGAGACCACTGAGGAGGGAAAAGGCACACAAGCCACAGAAAGCCTGGTGCTTAGCAACAAAGGAACAGAGCAACCTGACTCGCCAGAAGAGACCTTCTCCAGTGAAGATGAGGTGGGAGGAAACAAGGTGCTCAGAGACAAGACTTTCTTGCGGAGCAACCAAGAAGATTTTAGGCTTAGTTTGGAGGCCAGGGAATGCAATAGCATGATGGCAAACAAGGTGAAGGAGCACAATCGCAGCTGCATATTTGAGTACACATTCATCCACGAGGAAATCAACACAGTCAGAGCTGTCTGTAGCAGTCCTGTTGTTGCCTGTGACCTCAAGGGGATAAAATGTCACAGAAGCCCCCGTCCTTTCGATTTGACATTCTGCAAGTTGTCCAAGTCCGGCCAGCTCACTCCTAACTGTAATTATCTGACTTTCATTCTGGAAAGGGTCATTGTCATAACCTGTAATGGCATGAACCTCCATTTAACATCTATACAGTGAAGCAACTCATCCTCTTCTTTCTCTTCTACCTTTTTCTTTTCCTTTTCCACTTCCACTTCTCAAGTTGCACTCCTCCTCTTAGGTAATCTTGCAGAGAATTTTCTAGGAAGAGAGGATGAACTATTCTTTATCAACATCTTCTAAAAATGTTATTCTTCTTTGCCTTAGGGACCATCCAACATGCATCTTGTCCCTGGACTTAGAGGTGCTTAAGAGAGTAATGATGCTCAGTTTCTCTATTTTTCCTCTCCAATCTTTGCTGTGGAAGGGGATAAATAAAGGACTGCTCCTGCCCCTCCAGTGGCCCTGGTCATTAGTCTGTTCCCTGGTCTGAGTTTGCCTTTGAGTGTGGACTGGCAGAGTTTTATTTAATGCCTCTATTTCCTATGTTCCTCCCTGCGACCCACCTCAAACCTCTACAGCAATCACTTGAGACTTCTGAGGTTTGCACACCTATCCTTTTTTGCACTGTGAATGCAATTAAAGTGATTGTGTTTGTGACTGTGTCTAGAAGACCACGTGGACCATGTTTCTTTTCCTGAGCCTGGAAACACAGAGCCTAGGCTTACGGGTAGCCAGGTGGTATAGTGGTGCACATCAAGACAGAACATGTGCAGGGGCATGAACTGTTCTCTTTCTCCCGACTCTTCCTTACCCTTTTGTTTTTCTTCCCATCTTCACTTTGCTTTGTTTCTTTGTTTTTCTTCCTTTCTTTCCCCTTTGTTTCTTTTTCACCTTCTCTCTCTCTCTCTCTCTCTCTCCTTTTCTTTTTCTTTTGGGGCCTTTTTTTCACTTTCTCTGGATCTTTTCAGAGATTCCATCAGCCCAGACTGGACACTTCTGCTTTACCAGATAAGCAGAGGAAGATCCTATAGAGTCAGGCAGAAGGGCTGGAGGGAAGGTAGGTCAGGAGGGTGAAAACGAGAGAAGCAGAGAGGAAAAGAGAGCACCATCTTTCCAAGTTAAGAATAAAAAGTAGAAGAGTGTTCATAGTAGATGCTCATTATATGTGGGATGAATGAGGTGGGAGGAGTCTTATTCTCATTCAGCATCCTTGTCCATTTCTTTTCTTTCTTTAAAAATATTTATCTTTTAGTTATAGGTGGACATAATTTATTTTACTCTATGTGGTGCTGAGGATTGAACCCAGTGCCTCACTCATGCTAAGGGAGCGCTCTATCTCTGGAGCCACAACCCCAGCCCACCCTTGCCCATTTCTTGTGCTAAAGAACAAGGAAAGTTGGTGAAAGAATAATTTCAGCAGATGTTTGAATTTATTTATTTAAGAAGGGGAAAAACAAAATAAATAAATAAAATAAAAAGAAATAAAAACTGGGCTGGGGATGTGGCTCAACTGGTAGCGCGCTCGCCTGGCATGTGTGCAGCCCGGGTTCGATCCTCAGCACCACATACAAACAAAGATGTTGTGTCTGCTGAAAACTAAAAAATAAATATTAAAATTTTTCTCTCTTTCTCTCTTAAAAAAAAAAGAAATAAAAACAAAAACAAAGAACAACCACCACCAAAAACGAAACAGGGAAGGGCAGGGATGCTACGGGGTTGAATAAACAGAGGATGCAAGTGGCTACCCTCAGCTTATTTCCTCTAAATTCATTTTTTTTTAAGTGTAGTTAGAATGCGTGGGGACAGGGAAAGTTTGAGGAAATGGCTAGAAGGACTCACTGTGTGATTTGGTTTTGAGATCTCCTCCTGTTGGGGTTTTCCTCAGCTTCATCTTCATATCTGGTAATAGACCTAAGAGTCAGGAATACACATACACGGGAGATGGGAAAGAAGAAAAAGTTCCATCACTCTGACCTGTCCCCCCAACTCCCACGGTCTCTGTTTTCCTATTTCCTTAATTCTTCCAGTTCTTGCAGGCAGACAGCCATTTGGATGTGGTAAGATTCTCCCATTCCTCAGACTCATCTTTCCTAGTAATGGCCTCTTGTAAACAGTGCTGGGCAGGAAGTGTGTCTGCGTTTGTGGACTGCCCTGACATTTGAGGAGTGGATGGAGGAGAGGCAGGTGGTGAGGACGCAGCCAATGTAAACTCCTCTTCTTCCTGATGGTGGAGAGAAAGAAGGTTATGTAAGACAAGGGAAAAAATGAGAAATGGAGTAAGAAGAGAAGAAAAAAAAGAGTACAGTCGGAGTTAGAAATTTGGTAAGTAAACCCAGGGCTATAGTACTGGGAATGAATGTGAAAGGGTTCCATACGGGTGACTTCACCCTAACCAGAAGCCAAAGAGGCCACTGTACAGAGTGAACTAGTAAGAGACAGGGATTAAAGCCTGCCTTTTCTCACTGTCTCTCCTGTCTTTAATCCGAGATTAAAGCCTGTCTTCTCTCACTTGCAAATACAGCTACATTCTTTTATGGGTCCCCAACTTTCTCAGGGCTCTCACACCGCTCAGTGAGGATTCCTATCTCCCCATTTTGGTCTCCACTTTGTAGGAATCGCAGCCATCAGGCTTTTTCTGACTGTGGAGATAAACTCAAGAAACCAATTTACAAAATACCCTCCTGGCTCCTAGTGGCTTGAGCAGGAAAATACAGCTTCTGTGGCCGAGGTAACACAGTGACAAGGCTTTGTGGATGGACATCTCACCTCCTCTTTACATTTCCAGTGTACATGCTTGTGACAAGTCCCTGGACCTTTATCCACAGTTCCTGAATTCCTAAAACTCTAAAAATCAAGTTTTTTTTTTTCCAAAGTGACTTTAAAACTCCTTTAGATGTAGCACCTGACTAAATTGACAAAGCGAGGCTACTTATTATCTTTATTTATGCGATGCAACCATGACACATTTCTTTATGGAAATATCAATGTGTTTGATCATGAGTGCTGCCTAAAATATACTCTTCTATGGGTGTTTCAGTAGTATGTTATGTATGTATGTGCACAAACACAATATTGTTTTTAAAAATTCAAAAAATTCTAAGTTCCCATATGCATTGGTCCCAAGTTTCAGCTAAGGGATTGTGAACCTATATTTACAATTTAATGAGCTCTTAATTAATTTGAGTATATCATATATGATCCTAGTTATGGCACAAGCATCTTTGTGGAAGCAGTTATGTTATAAAATTCTTTTATATTCTTCATCAGCACATTTATTGATCAATACTTTTCTACTTATTGATTCTCCAGTACTTTCTCAGAAGTTATAATAATTGCAAGGAAGCACAGAATCACTTAATCGGATTAAGAAGTTCTATAACTCCAATCAAGTACCACAAAAATGAAGAGAGCTGAGCAGCCTAACGCATGATTCAAAGGGCTTCATATGAATTCTTTTCTTTCCAAGATAAGCAGGAAGGAATCTATTATTGTATTTCAGGCACTCTTTTTAGATGCTGTCATATATTTGGTTTTATTTTATTCCTATAAGGAGGTAGATTATGTTTGCTCCATTTTAAAGATAAGTGATAGTTCAGAAAGAGTAACATTTTCTGTTGCTATAACAAAATACCTGAAGCTAGTTACATATAAAGAAAAGAGGTTTATTTAACTTCCAGTTTTGGAAGTTGATCAGTGACTCTATCAGTTTGGTCTATGATTAGGGTCCCCTTAGTTGGGTCACATATGGTAGAGAGCATCATGGAGGAAGTATATGCAAGAGGGAGAGATCACAGGTAAGACAGGAAGCTAGATACTTGGGAGGGGCAAGTCTTGCTCTTTTTATATCAACCCACTCTTGCAAGAACTAACCCCTCCACCAGACCAGAATTGATCCCTACCAAGAGCAGGGCTCCCAATGACTTAACCACCTTTTACCAGGCCCCACTCCTTAAGTGTTCTACCACTCAACATAGCCACACCGAGGACCAAGCCTCTAACACATGAACATTTTACTGACAAACCACATCCAAATCATAGCCCCCAGTTACCTTGATGCGAATCTCCCAACTCATATATGGCTGATCCGTATTTCAGATGGAAGCTTCCTGTGCTTCTCTTCAGGTGCTGCTTCCCAATTTGAAACATCGTTCTGTTTTCTCACAGTGATTCAAAAGGATGAGATTCAACTCTAAGTAGTTTAGGGCCTAGATTATGTTTGTACATCAGTTAAAAGCATTTATTGTGCTAAGAACATACGTACTTGATATTATAGGTAAATGGGTGGGGGAGAGAGAGAAAGAGATAGATAGATATGGGGGAGAGAGAGAGAGAAGCAGAAGAAAACCTCCGGGCTTTGGTTCCTCATGAATACCGGTCCTGACAGTCTGGATGATGATGGAGACACTTCTCAATGTTATTCAAAGTTTTAAAAATCACAGCCAATCTAAACCATAATATATATTTAAGATTTGAACTTTTACTAGGATAAAAAATATGAAATATAAAGCTTTTTCAGAATCAATCTCTTGCTGTTAGTTTTTTTTTTTTTTTAATGTGGTCTCTCTATGTTGCCCAAACTAGTCTTAACTCCTGTGTTTAAGGGATCCTCCCACCTGACTTCTCTCTCTTGTTCTCCTTAAAATTATTTCTCTCTTATGGTGTGAGCACTCTATCACAGAGCCACAATCCCAGCCCCTATAGACTGTTTCTTTTCTTTTTTTTTTCAGTGCTAGGGATTGAACCCATGGCCTTGTGCATAGGAGGCAAGCACTCTACCAACTGAGCTATATCCCCAGCCTACCTATAGACTGTTTCTTAGGTGATGTAGCACTGAATGCATTAAAAGTGGCTGGGAGGGAAGAATCAGGGCCAAAAGATAAATCCCCTACTATTTGCACACTCAAATACTGTGTTCAGAACACTCTAAATATTTTTTCTCAATGTTGAAGGTTATTTGAATTACCCCGGGAAGCTTTAAAAATATGAAAAATGCAATTCCAAAAGCCCTCTTCCAGCAATATTCATATAATTAGTCTGAATTGGAGACTGGGCATCAGGCAAGGTCTAGTCATGGTGGGGCTACATTACTATATCTTCTAAGGTAGTTTTTCTGTGAATCAGTGTTTCAAAGACTGTTAACAGAGATGTTGAAGTGATTTGGGAGATCCTGAATTAAATATAGATAAATGGATCTCTTTTCTCAAGATCTTGTAATCTTTAATATTAATATGTGTTGTGAATCACTAATAATAGAGATCATACTTAACATTTCTGTAATTGTTCCCATGAAGTAATCTACCATTCCCATCATTAGTAACATTTTTCTAGAACTAATGTTTCCAGTTGGAAAACATTGTTCTAAACTTTCTTTTCTTTCCCTAGACTTTTCTAAATCTTTCATCTTTATCTAATACAGTTATGATGAGGCCTATCCTAAAGACTGACATCTAGTTAAGATTATAAATAATCTATGCTCAAATCCACGAATGTTGTTTTGTATACCATAAAATAAAAGAACCAGTTCAGACAGACAAAGGATATATGACCAAAGGTCAATAGTGACCATTGGTGGCCCAGAGTCCTAAATTCATCATGTGTCTAGGACGTATTTGCATCACTCCAAATCACTATGTTAGCACCATTCAGGTGGCTCATTCTCACATGATCCC